TACAGAATTGAGTCTGGACCAGACAATCCAGTGATTGACATCATGTGCATCGATCCACGCAGTTGGGATCGATGACATGCATCAACCAAGTCAACGAGCCTGACCACCCGATCCTGTTAGTCGACTCTTACGACAAGCATAGTCGCCTCTCACGGCAAGCATGTGCATGTGTTGCTGAAAACCTATTCTACCTCGGATGTTCACGGGTCAGCCGCATGTGTCTGAAGGGAAGTTCTCGAACTGTCGTAAACATTGGCTTGACAAGCAACGCTACACCTAGTTTCTGAAACTTCTATTACACCTGGGCCGCTCATTTGCAGCGTTTATACGAGCTTGTAATTACACCCATGTGTTTTTTTTTCACAAAATAAAGTCATCACGCGCACATGCTGGTTAGTTACCAAGGTAAAACCCTTCAACAACAATGGCCCGTGTTCTCAGTCGATATTGCCCGGATGTGGTCACGTGACATGTCTTTCTGATCCGTCTTGGTAACTCAACACCAACAGCCGAGCGACTCTGTGTTACCATTGCGTGTTGTTTAGATTCAGAGAGAAGCAATACATGTTTTGTCGTCGACAGCCTACTGAAATCTCTTTTCTACACTGTGGGTTTGGCGGCCATTGAAAGGACACTGAACAGCACTGAGGACAAAGTTTTTCCTTTGATTCGAGACTGGTGACGAGCATTGATCGTCGCCGGTAAAGGATTCTGGAGTATTGTTCTTCAAATTGATCACATGGTTGTCGTGGTGACGGCCACCTGTTTATTTGACATAGGAATGTTGCCACTTGGTGTATGTGAACACAGCAACATCAATATGCACGTCGTCGCCATTTGAAGAGTGTCTAAATCTTGGATCAGCCATATCTATTGAGTGTTGTTAGATAACTTCCTCATTTTTAAATATGGCAACATTGAGGCTGTTTTGATCAATAATTCAGTCAGAGGTAATCCTTTGAACTCGCGTCGTGCCAAATGTTGGGTTGCAGACGGAAACGCCTGTGGACGTCTCTGTTAGTTGTGGCCATTTTGTTAGCGGTCATGCGCATTACTCTTCACTACTATAAAGACGTTGATGACGTCATGCCTCATAACCAAGCACAAAGTTTCACGAGCAAAGGAGGTCAAGGTCACGGAAGTGTTACAAACCAAGGTCATGTAAGTGTTTCAAATCGAGATAGCGCCTACGACTCAAGCAGACTCGTACAAGACAAACACATTCTCCGGGAGACGTCACTGATCGGTGCAACTGTTATTTCAAGATCAAATACGTCATGGTCACGTGACGATGGCGCGTGCAATGGGGATACTAGCTTCGTGAAGACAGTTTTACACTCGCCGGCTGGAGATACGCCAATCTACGTTCACCCCATGTCGGAGGATATATGGGTGTCGGCAACAATTATAAAGGGGCAAGTGTGGGAAGGCGACTTGGTGACCAAGTTCTACAAATACTTCAAACAAGACGATGAACTTGTATTGGTCGACATCGGCGGAAACATCGGCGTGTACGGCCTAACGATAGCTAGAATGGGGAGAAAGGCTGTACTTGTCGAACCGCTTCTGAAGAACGTGAAGAAGCTGTGTCACTCTATCCGTGACGGCAATTACTCACATGTCTACATCGTACATAACGCCGTCTCCAACACAAGGGTCAAGGTCGAATTTGGGAGCTACGCCAACAACGTCGGTGGCACGTACGTAAAGCCTGTTACGTCAGAGAGCCGGGAGACAGCACAGTCTTTGTTGCTTGGTGATCTCCTGGAGGTGTTTCAGCTCCGCAAGGTTGCCATGAAGATGGACATTGAAGGCCACGAGGATGAAGCTCTTCTGGGTGCGGAGACATTCTTCGCCAAGGTGGATGTCAGGTATCTATTGTTGGAATGGAACACACACATCAACAAACCAGAGGCTAGGCATATCATTGACTTCCTCACCAAACACAACATGGTACCCGTACACCCGGTGAACGAACATATGCTGGCCTTGAACGGATCCGGGCAATGGCCAGGCGATGTGCTGTGGAAGAAAGATGTATGAGGTTAATATATCAATAAATGTGAATGGTCCATTCTACATATTTTCTGGACGTGGAATTCCGGGTCACAATTGTTCCTCTGCAACCCAGGCTTCTTAATGGATCGGATGGTAAGGATCGATGATATGGTTGATAGCGTGCTCATAGTATCAATCACTGGGTTGGCAAAATTATTTACAGGATTGTCTTGGAATATTGCTGAGTGTGGCGTGAAACAAACACACAAATAAACATATCAGTGAAACCCGCGAGCACGGATATGGTGCTGACAAACCTAGAAACATAATCGAACCCACAATCATAGGTTTCTGGCATGCCCAAGGGAAACAACTCTGCACAGCGAATCGCGTCGCCTTAGACGACTGGGCCACCCGTGCCCCCTTCAAAAACGAAGGCTCTACACACAACATGAGATTTGTCTTCAATAACGAAGGCTCTATACACAACAAGGACCTCTGCCGCACACCACGCGTGACACTGATGCCAACATGACCCGCCGATAAAACTCTTAATGTATGTTGCATGTCAGATAAGTCCTATAAATCTAATAAATTAGTGTCTAACAGATCAAGTCCTCCTTTAGATAACATGGAAAATGTTATCACAATGCCAACAATCTACATACGAACTGGGTCTTTGGCTGTAGAGCCTGTTGTAATGAACAAACCCTCCGGTGTTTGTTGTTTAACGCCACACTCAACAATATTCCAGCTATGTGACGGCGGTCTGTACATAATCACGTCTGGACCAGACAATCCAGTGCTTGACAACATGATCATCGATCCACACAGCTGGGATACGATGACATGCATCAACCAAGTCAGCGAGCCTGACCACTACATATCATACACCATTAGAAGAGGTCAAATCCTACTGTTCATGAAACTATATATTATTTTGACGTGGCTACGGTGTGGCTGTACACATGCCCGCGCTGTTGAAAGAGTTAGCGAGCGGAGTACTCTGAATCTTGACCCTGTTTCACCAAGCAATCTCAGTGTTATGATTCACAACCATGTTTACAGTTTAAAATAAACTGAAGGACGTAAGTGCCTTCTGAAATTTAAAACTTTCAGCCCAAGATCAAATCTGTCGGCCTAGGACCTACATGCCGATGTCTATTTCGAACACTGAGCAAAATTGTTCATATTGTTTTAAACATGCCAGTGTTGACTAAATAGTTTAGGTAATTATTCATATGTTAATTTAATCTGATGAACAAAGAGTTTGCCGTCGTGTTGATGCAGCGCATCAAACGTTTTCTTGTATGTTGTGTATAGATTAACGATTTCCGTGAGGGTGGTACATGAATATAATGTTCTGAACCAAGGGTTATTCCCATGTGTTTGTTTGTGTGTTTGTTTGTTTGTTTATTTGTGGTTTAACGCCGCATTCAGCAATATTCCAGCTATTTGACAGCGGTCTGTACATAATCGAATCTGGACCAGACAATGCAGTGATTGACATCATGTGCATCGATCCACGCAGTTGGGATCGATGACATGCATCAACCAAGTCAACGAGTCTGACCACCCGATCCAGTTAGTCGACTCTTACGACAAGCAAAGTCGCCTCTTACGGCAAGCATGTGCATGTGTTGCTGAAAACCTATTCTTCCTCGGATGTTCACGGGTCAGCCGCATGTGTCTGAAGGGTGGTTCGCGAACCTTCGTAAACATGGGCTTGACAAGCAACGCTACACCTAATTTCTGAAACTTCTATTACACCTGGGCCGCTCATTTGCAGCGTTTATACGAGCTTGTAATTACACCCATGTGTTTTTTTTTCACAAAATAAAGTCATCACGTGCACATGCTGGTTAGTTACCAAGGTAAAACCCTTCAACAACAATGGCCCGTGTTCTCAGTCGATATTGCCCGGATGTGGTCACGTGACATGGCTTTCTGATCCGTCTTGGTAACTCAACACCAACAGCCGAGCGACTCTGTGTTACCATTGCGTGTTGTTTAGATTCAGGGTGGAGCAATACATGTTTTGTCGTCGACATCCTACTGAAATCTCTTATCTACAATGTGGATTTGACGGCCATTGAAAGGACACAGAACAGCACTGAGGACAAAGATTTTCGTTTGATTCGAGACTGGTGACGAGCATTGATCGTCGCTGTTAAAGAATTCTGGAGTATTGTTCTTCAAACTGATCACATGGTTGTCGTGGTGACGGCCACCTGTTTATTTGACATAGGAATGTTGACACTTGGTGTATGTGAACACAGCAGAAGCAATATGCACGTCGTCGCCATTTGAAGAGTGTCTAATCTTGGATCAGCCATATCTATTGAGTGTTGTTAGATAACTTCCTCATATTTTAATATGGCAACATTGAGGCTGTTTTGATCAATAATTCAGTCAGAGGTAATCCTTTGAACTCGCGTCGTGCCAAATGTTGGGTTACAGACGGAAACGCCTGTGGACGTCTCTGTTAGTTGTGGCCATTTTGTTAGCGGTCATGCGCATTACTCTTCACTACTATAAAGACGTTGATGACGTCATGCCTCATAACCAAGCACAAAGTATCACGAGCAAAGGAGGTCAAGGTCACGGAAGTGTATCAAACCAAGGTCATGTAAGTGTTTCAAATCGAGATAGCGCCTACGACTCAAGCAGACTCGTACAAGACAAACACATTCTCCGGGAGACGTCACTGATCGGTGCAACTGTTATTTCAAGATCAAATACGTCATGGTCACGTGACGATAGCGCGTGCAAGGGGGATACTAGTTTCGTGAAGACAGTTTTACACTCGCCGGCTGGAGATACGCCAATCTACGTTCACCCCATGTCGGAGGATATATGGGTGTCGGCAACAATTATAAAGGGGCAAGTGTGGGAAGGCGACTTGGTGACCAAGTTCTACAACTACTTCAAACAAGATGACGAACTTGTATTGGTCGACATCGGCGGAAATATCGGCGTGTACGGCCTAACGATAGCTAGAATGGGGAGAAAGGCTGTACTAGTCGAACCGCTTCTGAAGAACGTGAAGAAGCTGTGTCACTCCATCCGTGACGGCAATTACTCACACGTCTACATCGTACATAACGCCGTCTCCAACACAAGGGTCAAGGTCGAATTTGGGAGCTACGCCAACAACGTCGGTGGCACGTACGTAAAGCCTGTCATGTCAGAGAGCCGGGAGACAGCACAGTCGTTGCTGCTTGGTGATCTACTGGAGGTGTTTCAGCTCCGCAAGGTTGCCATGAAGATGGACATTGAAGGCCACGAGGATGAAGCTCTTCTGGGTGCGGAGACATTCTTCGCCAAGGTGGATGTCAGGTATCTATTGATGGAATGGAACACACACATCAACAAACCGGAGGCTAGGCATATCATTGACTTCCTCACCAAACACAACATGGTACCCGTACACCCGGTGAACGAACATATGCTGGCCTTGAACGGATCCGGGCAATGGCCAGGGGATGTGCTGTGGAAGAAAGATGTATGAGGTTAATATATCAATAAATGTGAATGTGAATGTGAATGGTCAATTCTACATATTTTCTTGACGTGGAATCCCGGGTCAGAATTGTTCCTCAGCAACCTTGGCTTCTTAATGGATCGGATGGTAAGGATCGATGACATGGTTGATAGCGTGCTCATAGTATCAACCACTGGGTTGGCAAAATTATTTACAGGTCGCGGTCTTGGAATATTGCTGAGTGTGGCGTGAAACAAACACACAAATAAACATATCAGTGAAACCCGCGAGCACGGGAATGGTGCTGACAAACCTAGAAACATAATCGAACCCACAATCATAGGTTTCTGGCATGCCCAAGGGACACAACTCAGCACAGCGAATCGCGTCGCCTTAGACGACTGGGCCACCTGTGCCCCCTTCAATAACGAAGGGACTACACACAACATGAGATTTGTCTTCAATAACGAAGGCTCTATTCACAACAAGGACCTCGGCCGCAAACCTCGCGTGACACTGAGCTCAAAATGACCCGCCGATAAAACTCTTAATGTATGTTGCATGTCTAACACACCAAGTCCTCATTTAGATAACATGGAAAATGTTATCACAATGTCAACAATCTACATACGAACTGAGTCTTTGGCTGAGACAGACCACCTGATTCATTATGATGCCCCGGACATGCTGGGAACCAGTTCTAACCTGGAATCCCGACTGTTTATATTAAAGCAGCCAAAGACTGAAGGAGTGAGTGAGTGACTATGATTTTACGCCGCTTTTAGCAATATTCCAGCAATATCACGGCGGGGGACACCAGAAATGGCTTCACACCTTGTACCCATGTTGGGAATCGAACCCAGGTCTTCGGCGTGACGAGCGAACGCTTTAACCACTAGGCTACCCGACCACCCCAAGACTGAATGAATGTGGATAAGACATATCATGCAGATTAATGCAAAGTGAGTTAGGTTGGAAGCCATTTTGAACATTATTTCAGTTTTATCGCAGTGTGTCAACTTTATGTAAGAGTGAGTGAGTGAGTGAGTTTGGCTTAACGTCGCTTTTTACATTATTCCAGTTATATCACGGCGTGTAAGCTTAATGTGGGAGGAAAGCCCGAAGTGATGCAGGTCTAAGGCGTTTACCACTTCGGTGAAACCCACGAGCACGGGTATGGTGCTGACAAACCTTGAAACATAATCGGGGCGAACCGGGATTGGAACCCACAATCATAGGTTTCTGGCTTACCCAAGGGACGCGCAACTCTGCACAGCGAATCGCGGCGCCTTAGACGACTGGTTTATGTAAGAGGAAATGCAGGTGCGTTGTAAAAAGCAGGTTTCAGTCGAATATGGGATTCGAACACACGATAATAGGTCAAAACGTCAATCCCCAGTGTACAGATTTGTGGGGCCGTCACTACTGACTAGATGTGTATTAAGGTTCGTCGCGATGGTCCTTGGTCCATAACGATGGGATCGAAACCCATGATCACCAGATCCACGAGTAAGGGGAGCAACTCTGTACAGTACTGGGACCGCCTCCGTGGTCTAGTGGTAGAGCGTGCGCCCGGAGAGTATATCAAAAGACGTTAAAAGATGGTACTTGTTGTTACCCTGTCTGGCGCTCGGCATTAAGGGGCTAAAACAAGGACTGGTCGGCTCGGAGTCAGTATACTGTGTCTGAGTGGGGTATCCATGTTAAACTGCGGCAAGGTATCTCAGTGTGCTAGCACTATAAATCGGCATCAGTCCGGACTAGTACAAGCAGCCACACAAACACATACACGTACATGCACGTCGCTATATAAGTGCAATAATCTTGGACGCGACGTTAAACCCAATTTAACCTCACCTCAAGAGGATCATCCTTTGTTCAACATCATTCAGCATCGGGCTCGACTTACAAAGTGTGGAAACCGTCATCCATTATGGTCCAGCCACTAATGATGAGGATTATGTTCAAGAGACAGGACGAGCAGGATCCAGAAAAGCAGGCACATGCTCTTCTCGTGAAATTTAGACAGTGTCTCAGTGGCAGGCGGAATATTTCGGATGAAATGAAACAGTATGTCAGAACCAAAGTATGTCGACGAGCTACTGAAGTCATTTGACCAGAACCCTCAAGAAATTCATCCTTTGCTTAAGTGCTGTGACAACTGTGCTAGATCTTGAAAGTGTCTCTGTGACTGCATTGAATCATGTACATGCAATACGCCATGCCGTGAATGTAGATGTGATATTCTTGAGTTGTACAAGACTTCCCTTGACTCGAGTGATAGCTCATCATCTCACTTTGACTCAGAACATGAAGATCACGAGTCATTCATTGCAACAGAGTCTCGTTTCAGCCACGTGACACTGAAAGGTTCAGATGTCATGTGCGGCTATTGAAGACTTTTAGACTTTCTGAAGTCCAATTTTGGATGTCACTCATAGTGAGGACAGTGGATCCTCATGTTCTTGAATTCTCTGTGGCAGTGACTTTCTGCCTCATTGAATAGAGATTCATAGGCATGGAATTGTTCTACAAGTTTAAGAATATCACTAGTCCTGCACCATGACCGTGGAATATATTTATTTTATGAAAAAAACATAATCTAGAAATGCATACAAAAGCAAGTCTAGCCAGCTCAAATCAGCATAGGGAATTTTTTATTTTTTTTAGAGTCAAGAAGGATCTTGTGTAATGTAAGATTTCAGAGACTAAGTGTTAGTCTAGAATATCACCAGAGGGATCAACAGACAGGAGAGCATATGCCTTTGTCTGTGTTCCAAGGAGACCGTATGCATACTTTGGACATTAGTAGAACAAACAGACCCACTCTTCTAGCCTCATCATTCTGCCAACATGGACTCATTGTGAGATGTTGAATCCTGCTGATTTTCACCATTGTGCACCAGTCTCAGTTGCTGAGTGTACAGCGATTTAAACTTCGAACCAGCTGTTACGTGGCCAGGAATGAGGGACTAAGCATCCTTTAATTTGTTTGTCTGGAGAGCTGGATTTGAGATAAAAATCTCCAAAAAGAACAAAACAAGAAGCCTTTGTTTACCATTCACTTACTACGGTATCGTGTCCCATGTAAGATTAAGAATAGTGGACTTATCATTCTTCCTTAAAATGGTGTAGAGTTGCATCCCTTGGGCACGCCAGAAACCTATGATTGTGGGTTCGAATCCCGGTTCGCCCCGATTATGTTTCTAGGTTTGTCAGCACCATACCCGTGCTCGTTGGTTTCACCGAAGTGGTAAACGTCTGAGACCTGCATCACTTCGGGCTTTCCTCCCACATTAAGCTGACCCGCCGCGATATAACTGGAATATTGTTAAAAGCGGCGTTAAACCCAACTCACTCACTCACTCACTACCAGCTCGTCAAAAGATCAGGTGATTAACTGGGTCCTTCTGATGGCGATACCGTTAAGTACTTATCAGACACGTGACGCTCTTAAAACATCTGTTAGGGAGTTGCATTAACAATGCATTGTTCTCATAATGCAATAAGTCGGTTAATGTGTTGTAACCACAGGGGTGGTCTCTCTTGCAAACCTCAGAGCATATATATCTACAGTCTGGTAGCTTAAAGGAATTTCCAATGCTCACCTTGCATTTGAGGTCCCACAATGTTTTTATTGCTGATTTTATTTGTTTAAGACATGTAGATACAAAAAAAATAAAACTGGATGCCAACTTGGCACCCTTGAGCAAATGGATTAAAATATGTTTTAAAATATACCTTTGGAACCTCAAGCTCTAGCAGAAGTCCGTATGGAGGAAAATAGGTTGTTCGGTACGTAGCACAAAACGGAGTACTTCCTGTAGTGACTGTTGATATAAGTTACTTATTTCCTACCTCATTTGCACAAATAATATGGAACAACGGTACGTCATTTTGTTGTCCAACTGATTTATGACATATGCATTGCAGTAGTCCACAGTAATTGGATGATAGATAAGTGGGAAAATAATTCAGATCAAAATGCAAACTAGTAAAGTGTCGTCTGCTAGGCTAAGCATACCAATGATATCAAAAGCTGCACTTATAACAACTATCTACATATGCATTAAAATATTCATGTTTGCAAACAATATGCAAAACATCTCAGGGAAAAATATCTTTATTCACATGAATTGATAGTTTGATGAAAACTTTATATACTACTTACCCAAACCACATTGTTGTTTGTTGTTTAACGCCGCACTCAGCGATAGTACAGCCATGTGACAGCGGTCTGTAAATAATCGAGTCTGGACCAGACAATCCAGTGATTGACATCATGATTGGGATACGATGACATGCATCAACAAAGTCAGCGAGTCTGACCAGTCTTACGACAAGCATAGTCGCCTTTTACGGCAAGCATGCATGGGTTGCTGAAGACCTATTCTACCCCGGATCTTCCAAACCGCTAATCATACTGCCATAGAGTCTCTATTGACTATTCAAGTAAAGCAGAGATTTGATTTGATTTTTGTCTCTAGATTGATCACTAAAGTACATTGCAAGGATCTGATTTGTAGATTCATGTGAACTATAATGTTTGATATCAACCTTCAAATGACAAGATATATTTGGCGATATGAGCCCCAAACGTAATATACAGAGAAGCAAATGAAATGGTATATAATTTTCATATCAAACGCAATATCTGCAGTGCAAATATGTTAAATAATTGATATATGTCCATATCAGAGGCTAATACTTCATAATTCAATTTCATATTTATTTGAATTTTAAACTTTTTGAAACATGTTAATATTTTGTTATTCAACTACCTTTCAATATTTTATTCATATTTTTTGCATATTTGAATTTGAAAAAATGAATTCTTTCTTTCTTCAATTTCAGTCTGGGGTTAAGGAACGCTTACTCAAGCTAGTTGGCTGTCTTTGTATGCCAAATCAGAAGCTGACAGCTAATTCACCGAGTCAACCTATCACATCTATTATTGATGCTGGAAAGACAAGACAGGATTACCTACATTTAGTAACTGAAGAAAATAAATCTTCTTCTGAAGAGAAGCCGTCGTTCAGTTTCAGGCGCTGACTTTCTAGAACATTTCTTATTCTGTGGGAAACCATGTGGAATTGAAAATAGACTCTAGAAATCCTGGACGATGGAAGAGATCCATTCTTTGCAGAACTGTTGATAATGGCCAAAGAGCATTCAAGAATATAATTCTTGGGACGTGATATACGCAAGGATAAGGGGGATGATGAAGTATGACTGTGAGTAGATGGTGCCATAAGTGATCTTCATGCTCCAGAGGCAAGATATCATGACAAATGTAGAACAAATGTCACTACAATATGCTACTTCAAAACTGTAAGGAACTGAGTCAATTTTAGATAAATCACTCTATTATGTGATTAGATCATTGAATGCTCACCGGAAACAATTTAGAAATTCCACAAAAGTATATAACCAGTACTTGGACAGTGGAGGGATCATGTTTATTATTTAAACACAGTTTATTGAAGAAATATCAGGTGTTGTGCTGATGAACTGATTATTCTAAGAGGAATAGTAATAGCCAATATTCTTGTTTTCAGTGAATGGATGTTGTAACCTTGATCAAACAACTTCAGAGCAAGAGTCGTGAGGTGATCTTTGAAATCAGTACTTTCTTATACCATGGGGTTCGTGCAATTTAGCCGTCCCAGCATATTTGCAAATTCAAGTAAAATCATAAAGGTTCCGGATTCATGTTGTTTCTGGTGGGCAGTTTGGATCATTCGGGAAATTGTGGTGACGGGACTGCTTCTGTGATGCAAACTACTCTCTGGTTCAATTTGTGAAGTTTGTCAGCACCATACCCATGCTCGTGGGTTTCACCGAAGTGGTAAACGTCTGAGACCTGCATCACTTCTGGCTTTCCTCCCACATTAAGCTGATATGCTGCGATATAACTGGACTACTGTTAAAAGCGGTGTTAAACCCGACTCACTCACACTCCCTCAATTTGTGAAATATAACATTATCTGTACAACATGAGTCAAGGTTAATTGGTCACAGTCAAGGCCATACTGTAACAAAAGTAAACATAAAAAGTCAGATCAAATCACAGCTGACAAGAGTCGAGCACCAGCCATGGAGAGCAGGTGTCCCTTTCTTGTTTAGGATGTTAATATCAGCTCCTTTCGTGATAAGTTCTTCCAATATCATCTTTAAGTCATTTTTATACATCTCAGCCTCTGTGAGATTGCCGTCAAGGGTAATGACATCAGTGTCTTCCTCTACTCTGCACAGCATATGGAGAGGTGTGTTGCCTTCAGCATCTTGTTTGTTCAGATCAGCACCCTGTTCAATCAGGAACATATATGACTGACGCTGCATCTTAAAGTTATGTGAGAAGATCCTCAGAACTTTATGAAGGCAGGTTTGTCCCGACAAATCAGCTGCTTTTACATCAGCTCCTTGCTCAACCATCAACAAAATCATCGATGAAGGGTCGTTCAGGGTAAATGACTTTCTACTTATTTCTAGGAGAGGTGTATACCCACTCTTACTTTTCAAATTAATGTCTGCACCTGCTTCAATAAGTTTCCCGAGCACTTTCAAATTTGATGAGTGAATGTAGTGAAGAGGTGTCTTATGTGCATGGTCTTTGATGTTGACACCAGCTCCAGCTGCCATGAGAATGTCCACTGTTTCACATGTGAGCGAATCCTGCCTGAATAAAGGGTATTCCTTGTCCTGGTCGGCTGTGATCCCAACTGCAAGATGTAGTGGAGTTTGACCTTCTCCATCACGAGAGTTAACATTTGCTCCGTTCTGAAGAAGACATGTGATGTTCTCTGGCAAATGCCAGAAGCAAGCCACGTGGATTGGACATGTTTGCTTCGCACCATATCTGCCTCCATAAGCATGTACATCTGCTTCTTTCTCTAACAGATAGGATATTACTTCCACACTGCTTTCCTGACAGGCTACGTGTAGAGGTGTGTATCCTTTCTCTGCAGCAGCGTTGACATTGGCTTCTCTGTCACACAGGAACTTCACCACGTCGATGTGATTACCTTTACAAGCTGAGTGGAGTGGGGTGAAGCCATCTTTATTCGTATCATGTACTGAAAACCCAGCTTTAGATAGACACTTGATAATTGCTATATCCCCACCTTGACAGGCTGAATGGAAGGCCGAGTTTCCAAAATGATCCTCTTTCATGATAGTTCCAGCCGCTCCATTTTCAAGGAACATGTGCACAATGTCTAGATCAGAATGCTTACAAGCAACCCTGAATATCTGTGCATCAAATTTGGCTCCTCTGTTCATCAAAAGCTTTGCTATATCCTGCTGATTATTCTTACATGAATATAACAGAGGCGAAGCACCAGAGATATCTCTACAATCAAGAACATCTATTCTATCAATTACATCTTTCACAATAGATGTAAGGCCATTCTCACACAAGTAATGAAGGACTGTTTTGCCACTAATGTCAGCTGCATTTACATCCGGGTTCAGTGAAATAATCTGTTGTACAAACTGTTCATCTTTGCTTTGTGTTGCAATCATGATAGGTGTACAGTATGAAAAGATATCTCCTCGGGGAGGTTTAATGTCTCCTCGTGAATTAATGTCTATTTCAAAATGTTCAGTTAGATAGTTCAAGACATCCGCTGCGACAAACCAACATGCACCAAACAATACCTCCACAGTCTGACGTGCATCCAAATCTGTTTTTTGTTCCAGAAGGTTTGCTAACATGTGCACAGAGTTGCCACTTGGAATCAGAAACAAAAAGGAATAACCCAATGTGTCGTCTTTTGATGCAAAGAGGTCTATGTTGGATTTTGTCAGATATTCCATGAAGGTGCTGACAAACTGTGACAATTTGCATGCAGCATGAGAAAGAACAAGATACAAATGCCCCAAGCCAATTTCATCTGCAAATCGTTTAGCAAGATCAGAGGCATAAGCAAATGCTATAAATACAATCTGGGTGGACTTTGCAGATGATTCACCCAGAAACGAGTTGTTTGAAACCTTGAGACGGAGTCTTTGATGAATGAACGAAAGGCTACAATGTTCAATAACAAACAATGGATTTTCTGTACAGAGAAGAGATGCGACACTGTCATATATAGAAGCATGGTCAAACATGAAACCCTCCTCTTCCTCGTATAAGTACGATCCAACCAGATCATATGCAGCCCTAATGATGTTCTCACCTTTATCCATTTTTCTCAGCGTCCTGACATAGACAAGTCCATCCCCCTTTATTATTTCCTTGAAAAGGCGTAATTTAAAATCGTCTAGCATTAACTTCTTCATTGTTTGATTCAGAAACTTGAGTGGTGCTCTGAAGAATTCTTCAACTGAAACATTGCTTCCTCCCTTAAACATTGTAGTGAATAATTTACACACATGTGGGAAGCCATGGGGACATTTTAGCTGACAAATGCGGTAGATTTCGTCTTTATCTAGCTCTGGACCACCTCTCATCACTACAGCATTCCAAATGTCTACCTTCTCTTGAACAGCTCTGTCACTTGAAATGCTAACAACAAATTGGGAAGCTGTGAAGAAAGTGGACCACATTTTCATATGTCGTAGTGATGAGTGTATAACATTGTCTCGCCCCACAAATATCACTGTTGGTTTACTGTTTGATTCGTCATCAAAAAAATCTTCTTGGCCTTCTTCAACACTCAAGACATCGGAAATCACTGGGTACCAGTTATTCCAGCGTTGGTATTCAAACTCGATGTCACCAAATATGTCATCAACCATGATGACTGGGTTAAAGTCACACGCCACGTCTGCAAACTCATCTGGTGTGGAAACTTTGTACACATGCCTCCCGTTATTCAACAGTTCTCCCAGCACCATGTATGCTGTTGTTGTCTTTCCCTCACCAGCAGGACCGGAAATAGTCACCCAGGATGTTCCCGAGTTGATTTTCTTCAGGACTGATTCCAACCCCTTTGTCTTTGCCTTCCCTTTGGTCAAGTGAGCAATCCGACGAAGTGTCCGATCTGGAAACAAATTTAGAGGCATATTAAAGAGATGCAGGCATTAAGTTAGGAAAAATCGTTTACAATTACTCACAGAACTGCATGTTCATCATGTAAAATCGTTCTGCGTTAAGACTTCAATGGGGTCAAGGACATCTAAATGTGGTACCTGAGGCTGTGAAACCTATGAAAACTGTTTGATCTCAATTGCAAACATTAATCATAGTAAGTAACTCAGATGGTTTTCTGTATGTTGATGTTAATATTAATGCAGTTTTTAATGTACGCTTAAATAAATACTTAAACAATCTTTGCACAGTGAAAATTACTATACCTTTAATTCTCTGAGCTCTGACATTCTCTGTAAATAATTAGAAACAGTGTTAATGATTAAATTGACAGTATCATGAACATAATAAACTGTTGCAGACCCTTCAACTGATACAAGACTGATATAAAAGTTGGTGTTAATTCAATTGAACATGGAATATGGAATATTATTAAGATATTGTCCAAAAGAATACTTTCCAAAATGTAATTATATCATTCTGAACACTGATATATAAAGTGGAAAGTCACGTCGGTAGTATTTCAGCCATGTTGTGACTTGAATAATTTATATATAACCAGTCAATGATTAACAAAAAGAACCAACTAGAACATAACAGACTTGTGCTTCTAACTAGTATGAGAGTGTTCATAGGATATGACTATTATAAGGGTAATACTATTTTTTAGGGCATCATCATTTACAGATGCCCGAGGATTGCCGTTAACTCCTGAAAGAAGAGTGAGATTTGTTAAGATTTTGGAAAAATGTTTTACTTTTTGGTTTAAGTTTTTCTCTTTTATTATGATAGCTGTAATGGAGAGAATGTGTCCTTAACATGGAACTGTGTTCATCACACGAAAAACACAATAGAGGTTAGAGTGACACTGGGCTAGAAACATGTCATCCACACTGGATTGCGTCGATATAAGTTGTGTGACGTCATTCTCCTTGGCTTTAAATTCCGCCAACAAGAAAAGCAGTTTTGTGTGCAAATCTATAGGAAAGGTACAGGGTCTGATGGACATTGACAATAACTGATATGGAAAACGACAGAACAGTGTCATGATAGATACCGGCAGCTGCAAGAAGTTCAGAGTATTAGAATACTGCCAAAACGTTGCATTACCATTCATCTGAATCTGACCGCCTCCTTGGTCTAGTGGTAGAGTGTCCGCCCGGAGAGTGGAAGGTCCGGGGTTCGATTCCGGATCGCGTCACACGAAAAGACGTTAAAAGATGTTATTTGTTGTTACCCTGTCTGGCGCTCGGCATTAAGGGGCTAAAACAAGGACTGGTCGGTTGTGAGTATACTGTGTCTGAGTGGGGTATTCATGTTAAACTGCGGCATGGTATCTCAGTGAGCTAGCACCATAAATCGGCATCAGTCCGGACTAGAACAAGCAGCCACACATATACACACTTTGTGAATGCACATCGCTATATCAATGCAATAATCTTGGACGCGACGTTTAAACACAATTTCACCTCACCTCACCTCACCTCACCTCACCTCACCTCACCTCACCTCACCTCACCTCACCTCATCTGAATCTGTCGAGTGTTTACTCATCTTAGTTGCTATTGTTTTTTCCTAAATATATGCACGGAAGATCGTCGACTGACTCAAGATGCACTCGGTCAATCAAACGAGTCGATAGAGCCGTTTTGATACAGTCAGACGCCATGTTTGTTTACGTTTGAATGCAGGTCAACAATAACATCATACGGCAATGTGATTGATTGGAGCAGCGGTCAAACACGCCTGATACTTATAAAAAGATTGTATGAAAAAGGAAAGAAAGTGTATGTACGACTATGTACTAAATTACAAATCTCGATAAGGTTTTAACAAGTCAGAACATTCAGAACTTTTAAACAGGATTATTATGCTGAATCGACTTTCACAAGGAATGCACCGATGAAAAAGTTTATTAGTAGAGTAAATCCCGTCAGTATAGAACATGGATAGCGATGGATAAGAGAAAGTGCTCTAATTGTTTATCCCATGCCAAAGACGTAGCACATGTGTTGTTTTATAGTACTTTATACGGTAACATCAGAGAAACAAATTATAGTTTCTGTGGTGTCAATTATCCGGATTTCTACTAACTGTTTGCAAGTTTTAAAATGTCCATCCTTCTACACACAGATGTTTGTTTCCATTTTGCCCAAACCTGCTTTAAAATATTTAACCAAAGAATACCTATTTATAAACATTACGCATGTTGAATTTTTTAAATTGCTTTGAAATATTTCTTTTTCATCTTTTGTCTCGCATAATTCAAATAATGAAAGGTACTGTACTTTTAATGCATGTGTATATGTAGCAAATGACATTTATGAGTTGTTTAGAAAGAGCCATAAATTAGCCATGTGTCCTTTCTGTTGAAATCAGAATCCCTGCCAGTTCAGATTTCGGTTGCTTTGTACAATGTTAAAAATAATACAAATACTACTAAATGTATAGTAAGGTTCTAAGGGCTTAAACGCACCCCTTCCCTGTATGTGCGTCAGGTCCTTCTGGAATGTTTGTTAGAGACTGCTTCAAGACATAATATTTTTATTTCCGCCAGTGAACAACTATTTTCAAGCAAATTGTCGGTCCCGTAGGAGACCAGAACATATTCCGTGAAATTGTTGATGATCAGCGACGACCAGGAGACCCATCCAGGATCTCCTCATCAGAACCTAGGTTCGACCAGGACAAATAGCCAATCAAATCAAATTGTCAACCATCTTCACAGGCCAATCACTGAACCTCATGCAACATATCTGTGTAATGTAACTCACAAAGTTCGACTGATCACCACAATGCAGACTGACAGCAATGTTGCAGACAACGCAGACAGAGGAGGAAAAGATGGTGTGATGTGTGATGTTCTCAGACGAATCCACATTCACAATTACAATTCTTTGATGGCGTGGCATTGTTTGAAGAGGTGCAATTGATTGAACATAATGCCAACGTCTGTGTATGCCACCGTGATAGGTGTGGAGGTGGTTCAGTGATCATATGTGGTGATGGAACGCCATTACACCTTTGGACCGTTATCATCTGCATGACAATGCAGTATTTGTTCACATACAATTATTTTTGAATTATAGTATAAATTCATGTAATAAGGGTATATATTATGAAGTACACTCAAGCCAGGGTTCGAAATACCTGCCTGCCCGACCGTCCGAGACGGGTTGATTTCAACTCGGGCTGGCAGATTTTCAAATCCCCCTGCCCGACGGTCGGGTTATATTTCATATGTGAAATATTCTAAATATTACCCAATGATAAGCATTAATTCACATGTAAAGATGAATGATAAAATGTAACCACAAAGAAACCCCTTTAGCTTTTAGACAACCTAAAATTTAGGCCCTATTTAGGAATAAGGATATTTACATGATGTATTCTAGGATATTAAATACAAATCTGACCTAAAAAGTGTTTGCTATTTCTTTTCTTGCATTACTTCATGTTCAATTAATTCTATTTAAAGTTTTAATTAAATTATCCTGAGAAACATATGATTATAGTGGGCAGGTAGGTTTTTCGTCAGGGCTGGCAAGTATTTGAGCTAGCCAGTCCTGTGGTCTGGCTGAAATTTTTGGGAGTTTCATTCCCTGCACAAGCTGTTGCAACATTACTTGCAGTATGTATGCAGTGTTATGAGGGAAACTGTCTTGAAATATGAGTGTAGATGAATACTGAAGTCAACAACACCGGCCAACAGGAGTATAAAATTGCATGGTGAGAGTACAAAGGTTTAGAACAGCATCAGAACTGTCAGAAAATAGGCTACTTCTAGTCAGATACTTTCAACTAATTGTTCATAGTTGTACTTGTATTACAATCTTTCAGTTGAGATTCAGTAGAAGTTCACAGCATTGTGTTTTGACTAGTTGTCAGGAATGTATTTCTAATTAATGCTAGCAGTGGTGTGGAAGTTACTATATTTAGAGGCAAGTGCAATCTGGAATATTCTAGTAAAGCTATGAACTAATCCAGCACGGTCTGGAAGTTTCTAGATCAGCTATAGACTAATCCAGAATGATATGGAAGTTTCTAGAAGGTATATATACTATGTATAACTGGGCAAATGTGTGTCTATCTTATCTCACATTACTTCTCACATTACATCACACCAGCGGATGTGTGACATCATTGTTTTCAGCCTGGATATCCAGTCTAGGCTTATTTTGGAAGCTGCTAATTGAATATATCTCATACTGCTGTCGTAATTGTACTGTTATTGAATTTTGTACTGCCACGCTATTGTGTACTGTCATTGTAATTGCTGTGCAGTAATTTGTATTGATTTGTAAACCTGGTTTATTTATAATACAATTGTTAAGTGTACACCATTTCTGTGTTCTTTGTTGGTTATTTTACGTATAGATTTCTGAGTTAACTTATTGTTTCAATTTCAATGTCGACCAGAACAATAGACAGTTCTGGGAATTGAGTTCCCATTGCCTAAAAAACACAGAAATCGCCAAAATATGGAAATGTAGTCAAGAGTGACAAGAGAAATGGGAAAGGTGGTCAATGGTAAGTTCTGAGGTAGGAAGGTTGTGATCCAAGTTTTGAACCTTAGAGCAGACCCCATGTTATTCTTGCACCCCAACCCAACCCGATTTTGAAACGAGTGCTTTATGTATAAATAAGATGTATCTACAGTGGGACAACATCAAATTAAAAAACACAGTAGGTTTATCTCCATTCTACCGTGGCAGCAACAGCGCTTTGAAAACGGTGCTCTCTTGCAACGTGTAACGACACAGGTACACAGGTCCGCCCTCTTAGAACATTCCAAAAACGGGACACAAGTAGTTATATACGTAACAAGTACTACCAAAGATACCCATAGTCTTGACTAGTTCAAAATAACTTTTCAAAACACATAGTTTTTCAAAAAGAAGTTGACAAATACCCCTCTTAACTTAGTCCAAAGATATATGTTTTAATTTTAACCTGCTGTGCATTGTTTGGACTTACCAATTCATTACTTGGAAATCAGTGTGACAAGTAATAAAGGTTTGTAAACAACATGTTGTCATGATGAATAAAGTTTCTAAAATCATTTTTTTCAAAATGTGATATTTTACTTTCATTATCGTTTGTTTCGCCACGGTACATGTCTGTAACCGTTTCATAAACGTTATCATTTGTATGCAAAAAAAGGGCCTTTGTTAAGTCTTGTAATCTCATCACCGAAGCAGTCAGGGTTACGTCCTAGAACGTCAAAGCCGTTGTCAAGAACATCCCATATCAAACGTACCGTATTTCCTCTATCAGACTCTCGGACGTCTTTTAATTTTGTGAGAGCTGTTGACCCAGCGTATATAAGAGACCCGGCTTGTATTAGAGACCCAGTGTCTAACAGAGGAAATATTGATCTGGTATACAGTCCCTATTGGTAATTGGCAGATATTTTTTTTTAGGATTGATGTGTAGGCTATCAATGTATTTATACTCATGTATTTTTGTGTGAAAAGACTTAATGTGTTTAAAAGAGGTTTCTGTTGCAAAAAGGAGATTTTTTTAACCAATCAGAATCAAGTATTCTACAATGTCACGGTAGAATATGTTACATCAGGCGAGACTGTAATGGAGGACATCAACATTCTCATATTTTGGCAACACAACACAAGTGACTCTGCAATTGACAAAATGTTCAATGAGGTGAATGAAATCAGAAAAAAAGGCTGATTATCATTTAGTTCAGAAAACACAACTATACTTACCAACTATGTTACCCTTTCCTGCAATGCTGGATCTCTGGACATGGCCTCCAGACATTCCTGTCATGATGGCAGCCGACTCCTTTGGACATGAATAGTCCACAGGATCAGGAAGTGTGAGCCTGATGAATGCACCAGAGTTGGAGGGTTGCTTGACGAGTGTAGGGAACTCATGATCCTTGACATCATTTCTTTCATTGTCGTGGCGTTCACCTACTTCACACGCAGTAGAGGCTGTTAGTGGTGGTGTAGACGTTGGTTTTGCAATATCTCCTACCAACGATACCCCTTTCTCCATCAGATAGCTTATCTCTCCTACATTACTGTTCTCATGGGCTACATGAAGAGGTGTGTATCCATTCCCTGCAACAGCGTTGATATCAGCTTGTCTCTCGCACAGAAACTTAACCGCCTCAACGTGGCCACCTTTACAAGCTGAATGGAGTGGGGTGAAACCATCTGTATTCTTGTTATGGACTGAAACGCCAAGCTTCAACAAACGTTGAATGACTGACATGTTTCCACCTTCACAAGCGGAATGAAATGCGTATTGAACTGTTTTTTCTGCTGCTACTATGTCATCATCAAGGAACACATTCACAATATCCAAATTAGAATGCTTACATGCCACTTGGAGAACGTCATCATCAAGTGCAGCACCTTTTGCTACCAAAAGCCTCACTAGGTCTGTGTGTTTGTTCTTACATGAATACCACAGAGGCGAACACCCATGGATGTCTCTACAATCAAGAACATCTATTCTGTCAATTACATCTTTCACAATAGATGTAAGGCCATTCTCACACAAGTAATGAAGGACTGTTTTGCCATTAACGTCAGCTGCATTTACATCCGGGTTCAGTGAGATAACCTGTTGTACAAACTGTTCATCTTTGCTTTGTGTTGCAATCATGATAGGTGTACAATGCAACAAGTTCTCTCCTTGAGGAGGTTTAATTTCTCCTCGTGAATTAATATCTATTTCAAAATGTTCAGTTAGATAGTTCAAGACATCCGCTGCGACAAACCAGCATGCACCAAACAATACCTCCACAGTCTGACGTGCATCCAAATCTGCTTTTTGTTCCAGAAGGTTTGCTAACATGTGCACAGAGTTGCTACTTGGAATCAGAAACAAAAAGGAATAACCCAATGTGTCGTCTTTTGATGCAAAGAGGTCTATGTTGGATTTTGTCAGATATTCCATGAAAGTTACAACAAACTGTGATATTTTGCATGCAGCATGAGAAAGAACAAGATACAATTGTCCCAAGCCAATTTCATATGCAAAGCGTTTAGCAAGAGCGGGAGAATAGTCAAATGCTATAAATACAGTCTGGGCGGACTTAGTAGATGATTCATCTAGAAACGAGTTGTTTGAAACTTTGAGACGGAGTCTTTGGTGAATGAACGAAAGGCTACAATGTTCAATAACAAATGCTGGATCTTCGATACAGAAAAGAGATGCGATGCTGTCATATATAGAAGCATGGTCAAACATGAAACTGTCCTCTTCTTCGTATAAATACGATCCAACCAGATCATATGCAGCCCTAATGATGTTTTCACCTTGATCCAATTTGCTCAGTGTCCTGAAATAGACAAGTCCATCCCCCTTTATCATTTCCTTGAAAAGACATACTTTAAAATCATCTAGCATTAACTTCGTCATTGTTTGATTTAAAAATTTAAGTGGAGTCCTGAAGAATTCTTCCAGAGGTATATGCGGATCTTCCTTGAACATGGTTACGAATAATTTGCACATATGTGGGAAGCCATGGGGACATGTTAGTTGGCATATTTGATGGATTCTACTTTCTTCAATTGTAGGGCCGCTCCTCACCACAACAGCATTCCAAATTATTACCTTCTCTTGAATATCTCTGTCACTTGAAATGCTTACAACAAATTGGGAATCTGTGAAGAAAGTAGACCACCTGTCCATATGCCGTAGCGATGAGTGTATAACATTGTCTCGCCCCACAAATATCACTGTTGGTTTACTGTTTGATTTGTTGTTCAATATTTCTTCTTGGTCTTCTTCAACACTCAAGACATCCGAAATCACTGAGTACCAGTTATTCCAGCGTTGGTATTCAAACTCGATGTCACCAAATATGTCATCAACCATGATGACTGGGTTAAAGTCACACACCACGTCTGCAAACTCATCTGGTGTGGAAACTTTGTACACATGCCTCCCGTTATTCAACAGTTCTCCCAGCACCATGTATGCTGTTGTTGTCTTTCCCTCACCAGCAGGACCGGAAATAGTTACCCAGGATGTTCCCGAGTTGATTTTCTTCAGGACTGATTCCAACCCCTTTGTCTTTGCCTTCCCTTTGGTCAAGTGAGCAATCTGGCGAATTGTTCGATCTGGAAACAAATAAAGTGAAAGCTGAATGCATCGTTCTACTTTTAGTCCAAATTGGGGATTACGTTCTCAGTTTCAGTGATTTGGATGTCTGTATGCCATCTTCACCGAAGTGCCTGGCTCACACCAGACTGAGGACCTAAAACACTCATGATATACTTGGAAACGCCCTCCACATGCCTACTATAAAACATTTAAAAAGCTTTACTAAGGTCTTCAATACTGTAACTTGATCATACAACTTTTGAGCAGAAGTCGTACGCCACCCTTTGAGCAGCATGCAGCTGTTAATTGGACTCGTGCCACACGTCATTAGATGCAACATACCTTTAATTCTCTTAGCCTGGGCGTTGACTGAAAAAAAAAAAAAAAAGCAACGTAAATTATGGCATTCTGATTATATCCCAATAAAGATGAACATTATCACCTGATGCAAATATGGATACATGTGCTGAATGATGTCATTTACAATTTTGATGACGCGAATGAGAGAGAGACTTAAATCTGTCGATTTTCACTGCTTCAGAGGCGTACACTTAAAATTCAACTAAAAAAACAAAATGTAGATTGCACAGCGAGATGGCGTGACAGTGACCTACTGTTGATACAAGTTTCAGGGAGAGGCGCTGTTTGGGTTTTGAAGTGCATCCACCACCACTCCACCCTCACCTATAGACTTGGATTTAGAGTGCATCCACCACCACTCAACCCCCACCTATAGACTTGGGTATAGCGTGCATCCATCACCACAACAACCCCACCTCTGTTTGGGTTTTGAAGTGTTCTTTCAGTTTTTCGGCGTACTAGCAATTATTTCCTTGAATTACCATTGTTTGAATAAATTATTAATTATAGGGGTTTGAGCGTTCCTGGTGTCATATTCTCAGACAGTATCTGGAAATCTTTATTAAACTTTCATCTGTTCAGTTAAATACATATTAAACGTGGGTAATAAATGCAAGACCGCTAGCTTTAGCTCGGTCAGATACAATCAACAGTCCACTTGTTTCATAAAAAGGGTATTTAAGTCAGTTCGTAAACATTCGCGTTTTGGGACTTCCTTGTTTGACTGACCATATATGTTGCCTATTCCTACAATGTTGGAATAGATGGCTTGGCCTCCAGACATTCCCGTCACGGTTGTCACATATTTGCCGGCCATGGTGGCTTGGATTATCAGTCAGAATGTCCCTGGTACTTTCGTCAGTTCACCTAAAGAGAAAGATTGAACATACTTACAAACTTGAAATCCGAGCATAAAAAATTGATTGCGATTTGTCAATTTTCCTAGATACATTAACTCAATACCCGAGAGAGAATAATTCATAACTTTTTTAGAAAGTACTCAAATATCCAAGTGAAAGCGATAAAATCACACACTCTGTAATCGGATTCTGAAACAAAACTAAAGCTACCGCTGCAACGGGGCAACTTGACAAATGTTCTCATTGGTTGAAGCATCGTGCCCCCATACACTCTCCGTCCTCTACCCCTAATGTGAGTCTTAGTGCAGTGTGCATCCACTACCACTCCGCCCCAACCTATAGCCTTGGGTATAGTGTGCATCCACTACCACTCCACCCCCACCTATAGACTTGGGTATAGGTGCATCCACTACCATTCCACCCCCACCTATAGACTTGAGTAAAGTGTGCATCCACCACCACTCCGTCCCCACCTATAGACTTGGGTAAAGTGTGCATCCACTACCACTCCACCCCTACCTATAGACTTGAGTAAAGTGTGCATCCACTACCACTCGGCCCCCACCTATAGACTTGGGTAAAGTGTGCATCCACCACCACTCCACCCCCACCTATAGACTTGGGTAAAGTGTGCATCCACCACCACTCCGCCCCCACCTATAGACTTGGGTAAAGTGTGCATCCATCACCACTCCGTCCCCACCTATAGACTTGAGTAAAGTGTGCATCCATCACCACTCCACCCCCACCTATAGACTTGGGTAAAGTGTGCATCCAACACCACTCCGTCCCCACCTATAGACTTGGGTAAAGTGTGCATCCACTACCACTCGGCCCCCACCTATAGACTTGAGTAAAGTGTGCATCCACCACCACTCCGTCCCCACCTATAGACTTGGGTAAAGTGTGCATCCATCACCACTCCGCCCCCACCTATAGACTTGGGTAAAGTGTGCATCCATCACCACTCCGTCCCCACCTATAGACTTGGGTAAAGTGTGCATCCATCACCACTCCACCCCCACCTATAGACTTGGGTAAAGTGTGCATCCATCACCACTCCGTCCCCACCTATAGACTTGGGTATAGTGTGCATCCATCACCACTCCGTCCCCACCTATAGACTTGGGTAAAGTGTGCATCCATCACCACTCCGTCCCCACCTATAGACTTGGGTATAGTGTGCATCCATCACCACTCCGTCCCCAGCTATAGACTTGGGTAAAGTGTGCATCCATCACCACTGGGCCCCACCTATAGACTTGGGTAAAGTGTGCATCCACCACCACTCCGTCCCCACCTATAGACTTGGGTAAAGTGTGCATCCACCACCACTCCGCCCCCAGCTATAGACTTGGGTAAAGTGTGCATCCATCACCACTCCGTCCCCACCTATAGACTTGGGTAAAGTGTGCATCCATCACCACTCCACCCCCACCTATAGACTTGGGTAAAGTGTGCATCCATCACCACTCCGTCCCCACCTATAGACTTGGGTATAGTGTGCATCCATCACCACTCCGTCCCCACCTATAGACTTGGATAAAGTGTGCATCCACCACCACTCCACCCCCACCTATAGACTTGGGTAAAGTGTGCATCCACCACCACCACTCCGCCCCCACCTATAGACTTGGGTAAAGTGTGCATCCATCACCACTCCGTCCCCACCTATAGACTTGGGTAAAGTGTGCATCCATCACCATTCCACCCCCAGCTATAGACTTGGGTAAAGTGTGCATCCATCACCACTCCGTCCCCACCTATAGACTTGGGTATAGTGTGCATCCATCACCACTCCGTCCCCACCTATAGACTTGGATAAAGTGTGCATCCACCACCACTCCACCCCCACCTATAGACTTGGGTAAAGTGTGCATCCACCACCACTCCGCCCCCACCTATAGACTTCGGTAAAGTGTGCATCCATCACCACTCCGTCCCCACCTATAGACTTGAGTAAAGTGTGCATCCACCACCACTCCACCCCCACCTATAGACTTGGGTAAAGTGTGCATCCATCACCACTCCGTCCCCACCTATAGACTTGGATAAAGTGTGCATCCATCACCACTCCGTCCCCACCTTTAGACTTGGGTATAGTGTGCATCCATCACCACTCCGTCCCCACCTATAGACTTGAGTAAAGTGTGCATCCACCACCACTCCACCCCCACCTATAGACTTGGGTAAAGTGTGCATCCACCACCACTCCGCCCCCACCTATAGACTTGGGTAAAGTGTGCATCCACCACCACTCCACCCCCACCTATAGACTTGGGTAAAGTGTGCATCCATCACCACTCCGTCCCCACCTATAGACTTGGGTAAAGTGTGCATCCACCACCACTCCGCCCCCACCTATAGACTTGGGTAAAGTGTGCATCCATCACCACTCCGTCCCCACCTATAGACTTCGGTATAGTGTGCATCCACCACCACTCCACCCCCACCTATAGACTTGGGTAAAGTGTGCATCCATCACCACTCCGTCCCCACCTATAGACTTGGGTAAAGTGTGCATCCACCACCACTCCACCCCCACCTATAGACTTGGGTAAAGTGTGCATCCATCACCACTCCGTCCCCACCTATAGACTTGGGTAAAGTGTGCATCCACCACCACTCCGCCCCCACCTATAGACTTGGGTAAAGTGTGCATCCATCAACACTCGGCCCCACCTATAGACTTGGGTAAAGTGTGCATCCATCAACACTCGGCCCCACCTATAGACTTGGGTAAAGTGTGCATCCATCACCACTCCGCCCCCACCTTTAGACTTGGGTAAAGTGTGCATCCACCACCACTCCACCCCCACCTATAGACTTGGGTATAGTGTGCATCCACCACCACTCGGCCCCACCTATAGACTTGGGTAAAGTGTGCATCCATCACCACTCGGCCCCAAATATGGACTTGGGTAAAGTGTGCATCCATCACCACTCCGTCCCCACCTATAGACTTGGGTAAAGTGTGCATCCATCACCACTCCGCCCCCACCTATAGACTTCGGTATAGTGTGCATCCATCACCACTCCGCCCCCACCTATAGACTTGGTTAAAATGTGCATCCATCACCACTCCGTCCCCACCTTTAGACTTGGGTATAGTGTGCATCCATCACCACTCCGTCCCCACCTATAGACTTGAGTAAAGTGTGCATCCACCACCACTCCACCCCCACCTATAGACTTGGGTAAAGTGTGCATCCACCACCACTCCGCCCCCACCTATAGACTTGGGTAAAGTGTGCATCCACCACCACTCCACCCCCACCTATAGACTTGGGTAAAGTGTGCATCCATCACCACTCCGTCCCCACCTATAGACTTGGGTAAAGTGTGCATCCACCACCACTCCGCCCCCACCTATAGACTTGGGTAAAGTGTGCATCCATCACCACTCCGTCCCCACCTATAGACTTCGGTATAGTGTGCATCCACCACCACTCCACCCCCACCTATAGACTTGGGTAAAGTGTGCATCCATCACCACTCCGTCCCCACCTATAGACTTGGGTAAAGTGTGCATCCACCACCACTCCACCCCCACCTATAGACTTGGGTAAAGTGTGCATCCATCACCACTCCGTCCCCACCTATAGACTTGGGTAAAGTGTGCATCCACCACCACTCCGCCCCCACCTATAGACTTGGGTAAAGTGTGCATCCATCAACACTCGGCCCCACCTATAGACTTGGGTAAAGTGTGCATCCATCAACACTCGGCCCCACCTATAGACTTGGGTAAAGTGTGCATCCATCACCACTCCGCCCCCACCTTTAGACTTGGGTAAAGTGTGCATCCACCACCACTCCACCCCCACCTATAGACTTGGGTATAGTGTGCATCCACCACCACTCGGCCCCACCTATAGACTTGGGTAAAGTGTGCATCCATCACCACTCGGCCCCAAATATGGACTTGGGTAAAGTGTGCATCCATCACCACTCCGTCCCCACCTATAGACTTGGGTAAAGTGTGCATCCATCACCACTCCGCCCCCACCTATAGACTTCGGTATAGTGTGCATCCATCACCACTCCGCCCCCACCTATAGACTTGGTTAAAATGTGCATCCATCACCACTCGGCCCCACCTATAGACTTCGGTATAGTGTGCATCCATCACCACTCCGCCCCCACCTATAGACTTGGATAAAGTGTGCATCCATCACAACTCAGCCCCACCTATAGACTTGGGTAAAGTGTGCATCCATCACCACTCGGCCCCACCTATAGACTTGGGTAAAGTGTGCATCCACTACCACTCGGCCCCACCTTTAGACTTGGGTATAGTGTGCATCCATCACCACTACGTCCCCAGCTATAGACTTGGGTAAAGTGTGCATCCACCACCACTCGGCCCCACCTATAGACTTGGGTAAAGTGTGCATCCACCACCACTCCGTCCCCACCTATAGACTTGGGTAAAGTGTGCATCCACCACCACTCCGTCCCCACCTATAGACTTGGGTAAAGTGTGCATCCACCACCACTCCGTCCCCAGCTATAGACTTGGGTAAAGTGTGCATCCATCACCACTGGGCCCCACCTATAGACTTGGGTAAAGTGTGCATCCATCACCACTGGGCCCCACCTATAGACTTGGGTAAAGTGTGCATCCACCACCACTCCGTCCCCACCTATAGACTTGGGTAAAGTGTGCATCCATCACCACTCCGTCCCCACCTATAGACTTGGGTAAAGTGTGCATCCATCACCACTCCGTCCCCACCTATAGACTTGGGTAAAGTGTGCATCCATCACCACTCCGCCCCCACCTATAGACTTGGGTAAAGTGTGCATCCATCACCAATCCGTCCCCAAATATAGACTTGGGTAAAGTGTGCATCCACCACCACTGGGCCCCACCTATAGACTTGGGTAAAGTGTGCATCCACCACCACTCCGTCCCCAGCTATAGACTTGGGTAAAGTGTGCATCCATCACCACTGGGCCCCACCTATAGACTTGGGTAAAGTGTGCATCCATCACCACTGGGCC